TATATACATACACACACACACACACACACACACATACCAATATTGTAGGGCTGTGCAGTACTTCAAATAGTTGACCAGAGGTAAAAAAGGATTGACACAAACTTCAAGTAACTACTCAAATCAATGCGATCCACGTTTGGGGACGTAGCTCAGTGATAGAATTCATGCTTAGCATGTATAAGGCCTTGGCTTTGATCCCCAGCACCCCCCTCAAATCATCAATAACAATGATAAGGCTACAGGAGAACCGGGGATTTAGCTCAGTGGTTCCACCACCTGCCTCGCAAGTATAAGGACCCAAGTTCAATCCCCGGTACCAAAAAAAAGTATAAAAAAAAAAAATAGGACCAGGATTTAGCTCAGTGGTGCTGCGCCTGCCTTGCAAGAGCAAGGTTCTGAGTTCGATCCCGGTACCAAAAAAAAAAATGCTGCTGTAATGGTTCTTGGTGGGAGGCAGTTTAAATATTGTGATTTGAAGTGCTTCTTGGATGATGCTAAATCAAGATTCTCTAGGTCATGTTACCTGAGCTCTTGCAGCTGGGAGAAATGTCTCCTAAGATCTTGACAAGGGAAAAAAAAAATCAGTCCTGATAAGGTTAAGAGAAACAAACATAACTTGTGTGATCCTCCTGCCTCAACCTGCAGAGTCCTGGGATTACAGGCGTGCACTGCCATTCCCAGCTAAAAGTATAGATAGGTTCTAGGGACAGATTGTCTAGGTTTGAATCTCTTATTAGTGGTGTGATTATGGAGCAGTTATTTAACCTTTTTATATTCAGTTCCCTCATCTATAAAGTAGGAACAATGGTATACTAATTGTGTAGGGTTATTGTGAGGATTAAATGTAACTATGTAAAGCAGTTAGAACATCCCCTTGCCACATAGGAAATGTTATGGAAATGTCTGCTTCCATTTATTTATTTTTGTTTCTTAATATAAGGAGCCGTGTAAAGCCAGTGGAATATAGCCAGATGTACAGTTACAGCTACAACCAGTATTACCAACAGTACCAGAACTACTATGCCCAATGGGGCTATGACCAGAACACAGGCAGCTACAGCTACAGTTACCCCCAGTATGGCTACACCCAGAGCACTATGCAGGTATCTGTGTCTTGTCAAGTCTGGCGCTGTTCGGTTATGTTTTCTGTCTGTGACAAGTCATTCTCTAGGATGGGACTGATAACAGGGAGCTGGGCTTCAGAAAAGGTGGGGAAAGCTAAATTGACAATCTTGTTAAAAATAGGCCCAGGGATTTACCTCAGTGGTTCCGGCTCCTGCCGCAGCAGCACAAGGTTCCAAGTTTGATCCCCGGTACCAAAAAAAAAAAAGCCACTGTAGGCCCAGGGATTTAGCTCAGTGGTTCCACTGCCTGCCTCTCAAGTGCAAGGTCCCAAGTTCAATACCCGGTACAAAAAAAAAACACTGATCATAGGCCAGGCTTTCACCAGGCTGTTCACTTGCCCTTCTGATCTCTTGACAGACATATGAAGAAGTTGGAGATGATGCATTAGAAGGTAAGAAAGAATCCACATTTATTCCTCTGTCACCTCTTACCAAATGATTGCCTTGTGGCTGGCACTGTCCCTGCAGCTAGGTACTGAGGAATGGAAGGTAAACTGCTCTGGAGGAATTCACATTCTTGTGAGAGCTAAACCCAGACATAGTTAGACCAAGATGTGACCAGAGTGTGAGTGCAATTCCCAAGGAGCCCATTACTCTCTAAATATGTGGCATTCTACCCTGGGTATGGGTCTAACCATGCTATGTTACTTGTAACTTGTCAGTATGAAGAATTCTTTTTGCCAGGTGTGATGGCACATGCCTGTAATCTCAGCACTCGGGAGGCTGAGCCAGGAGTGCTGTGGGTTCAAGGCCAACCTGAACCACATGCCCTATTTCAAAAAAAATTTTTTTTTTTTTTTTTGTTAAGACAGGTTCTCACTAAGTTGCCCTGGTGGGATCTGGACTTGCAATCTTCCTGCCACAGCCTCCTTGAGTGCTGTTAAAAAAGTTTTTAAAAAATATTTTTTCAGCATGTTTCTGAATAGATGCTCAAATTCTGAAAAAGTAAAATTTAAAAATTTGTCTTAAAAATCACATACAGGAGCTGAGGATGTGACTCAGTGGTAGACTGCTTGTATAGTGTGTATAAAACCCTGAGTTTGATCCCCAGCAGTGAAAAACAAAAATAAATTGATTTCTAAGTAAGTAAAAGTATATGATGGATGTGGTGGCAGACACTTGTAATCCCAGCAGTTGGGGAAGCTGAGGCAGGCAGATTGCCAAAAGTTTGAGGCCAGCATGGGCTACATAGTGATTTCAAGGTCAGCCTGCACTACAAAGCAAGACCCTGTCTTAAAAACAAAACATAACAAAAATATAAAAGAGCCAGGTTCAGTGGTGGGCACCTTTAACACCTGCTGCTCAGAAGGCTGAGGCCAAAAGAGCCTAAATTCAAGCCCAGTGGCAACTTAGCCAAGACCCTGTCTCAAAATTAAATAGCTGGAGGCATGGCTCAGTGGCAGAACACCCCAGTTCAATTCCCAGTACCATAAAAACAACAGATTGTACAAAAAGAATCAGGAGTTTAAAATCTAAATCTATTTGGGGAATTATTCAAGGGAAATTTGTAAGAGCTGGGAGTGGTGGCACACACCTAGTCCCAGCACTTGGGAGACTGAGACACAAGGATCACTGTGATCAACCTGGACTGCACAAGACCCTCTCTCAAAAAAGAAAAAAAACAGGAATTTTATAGGAAAAATGTGTTCTGTCAGAAAATGTCCCTTAGGGGCCAGGGATTTAGCTCAGTGGTTCCGGTGTCTGCCCCGCAGGCATAAGGACCCGAGTTCAGTCCCTGGTACCAAAAAAGAAAATGTCCCTTAGATCACCTTCAGGTAAAGATCAAACCTGTCTAATTCATGATATTTTAAACACTTTCATATATGTATCCTCAGCTGACTGTTACAGCAGGATCTGGTGGGGTAGTCACTAGACACAGGGACTGACAACCCAGAAAGCCCTGTTGTTCCACTAAGGGTCACACAGTGACTTGGGACAAAGTCTAGTGCAGTCTCTAGCAGTTTCTAGGAGACACTGCCTCCCTTTTGGAGATAATTAACCTACTTACAGTGTTTGTATAACTCTTTAGACGTCTTCAGTCTCTTTGGCAGTTGTAATAGCCAACATATTTTGCCACACATATTACTTGGGACCCTATGATGTATGTAAGTGGTAGGATGCTGGCCTAGCCTTCACAGTGCCCTGGCTTCAATTCCTAGCATGATGAAAACAAAAAAAAGGAAACATTATTCTAACAGGCTTCTTCGGAGAAACAGAATAGGATGTATGCAGCTGTTAAAAAATGTATTGAAGGAATTGACTCAGGTCACTATGGAAATTGCCAGGTCTTAAGTCTGTGGCAGGCAGGCTGAAAACCCACACAACAGTTGATGTTGTCTTGTCACCAGCCTGGTGAGTGTAGGCTGAGGCTGGCAGAATGAAAAACTCAGGCCAGATTTTCATAGTAAGTTTTGTAGCAGAATTCCTTCTCTGAGAATTCATTTTTTTCTCTTAAGGCTTTCAACAGATTAAATAGGGCTCTATTTGCATTATTGAGGACAATTTTCTTAAAGTCACCTAACTGCAAATGTTAATCATGTCTACAGAATATCTTCACAGCAACAACCAGAAGGGTGTTTGACCAGCCAGCTGGGTACCAGAGTTCAGCCAAGCTGACACCTAAAATCTAACCATCAACACAATTGATAATTAACAGCCAAAAACAAACTAAAATATACTGTTTCTATAAAAAGTTAGTTCATATCCTCTGGGCTTTTTTAGTTGTTGGTGGTGTTTGAGACACATCTTAGTATGTGGCTCCCTCAGGCCTCCCAATTTGGGATCCTCCTGCTTTAGACTCCCCATGCCTGGCTTAGTTCATATCTTCATTTGAATTGGGAATTTTACTTGAGATTTTGATCTTAAATGGTAAACATCAACAATAGGTTTGTTAAATAATGACCTTTTTTGGGGGATTGCTTATGCTAGCCCTGAATTTGAGATTCTCCTAGCTCAGCTTTCTAATTAGCTGGGATTACCAGCATTCACTATCAGGTTGTGATGATACCCATTTGTTTTATGGTACTAGGGATCAAACCCAGTGCTGTACCACTGAACTACATCCCCAGCCCTTTTTTTTTTTTTTTTAGTTTTGAGGAGTTTTACTAAATTACTAGGGCTCAAACTTCTGATCTTCCTGCCTCAGCCTTCCAAGTAGCTGGAAGTATAAGCTGACAGCACCACACCCAATGACTGTAGCCATTTCTGAGAAAATCATACTCTAAGAATACCAATCCTAAAATAAAGACCAACCATTATCAGTCACATTGTGTCCTCCAGCCCCTGGTCACTAGTCATCCACTTTCTGCTGCTTTGGACATTAGACATTTTAAATAAATTAATAATTCATAATATTTATAATTTAACTATAAATTATAATTAATAATCATTTAGTTTTTTTTTCTTTTGCATTACTAAGAGATTGAATACAGGGTCTTGTGCATGCTAGGCAAGCACTGTACCACTGAACTATATCTCTAGAGGCCTTCACATTGAGCTACATCTCCCAGCCTTTTAAAATTTTGAGACAGGGTCTCACTTTTAAATTGTTCAGGCCACCATTCCCAACCTGATCTTTTTTAACTGAACAGCTCCTTTCATTTTTTTAAGACAGGGTCTTGCTGTATAGTTCAGGCTGGCTTCAAACTGTATAGCCCAGGCTGGTGATCCTCCTGTCTCAGCCTCCTGCCCCCAGCAAGCATAGTGTTTTCAAAGGTCATTAACACTGTAGCCTGGTGGTTCATTCTACTTGGGATTAATCCCAGGGGCACACTACCACTGACAGCTATAACCCTAAAACCACTACCCCCAATTTTTTTTTTTTAAAGATAGGGTCTTGCCCAGTTGCTCAGACCTCACGAGATCCTCTTGCTTCAACTTCCCAAGTAGCTGGGATTATAGTGTGGCACCACCACACCTAGCTCCTAAACCCAAATTTCAAGTGAAGACCAGACCAGAAAATTCAGGGCATGGCTATAAAGATGGAAACATAACTTTTTTTTTTTTTTTGGTACCGGGGATCGAACTCTGGTCCTTGCACTTGTGAGGCAGGCCCTGGCCCGGAAACATAACTTTTAACACATGTGGAAGCAAAAATCATTTGTCATTATTTCATTCTTTTGTACCACTTGAATTAAACCCAGGGCCTCTGCACTGAATTACTCAGCCTTTTAATTTTACTGAGGGTCTAAATTGCCCAGCACTTAAGCCTGTTTTCATTGTCCTCTGGGACCTCATCCTAGAAGAGGCCTGAAGTAGGAGACTGAACCTAAGTCCCTTGTCTGTTTGATGCTTATCCCCTTGACCTGCCTTGACCCCAGCCTTGCTGTTCTTCCAGACCCCATGCCACAGCTGGATGTGACAGAGGCCAACAAGGAGTTCATGGAACAGAGTGAGGAGTTGTACGATGCACTGATGGACTGTCACTGGCAGCCCCTGGACTCAGTGTCTTCAGAGATTCCAGCTGTGATGTAGCCAAGACAAAGGAAAGGCCAGCATGGACTGAGGGATGAGACTTTTCTTAAAATTTGAAAACTTTTACCTTTTCAGAAATGATTTATAAGATTTTAATAACCTTGCCTGCTGTGCAAGTGCAAGGACCTGAGTTTGATCCCCAGTACCAAAAAAAAAAAGATGTTAATAACCTTCCTGATATTATGAGTATTTCCACAACACTGCTGCTTTCATTTGGTAGTCATCTGAGTGGAAACCAACGGTTGGACCAAAGTTTAAACAGCTATTTCGTTATTCACTTGTGGAGAAAAGAAATAGGAGGATTAGCCAATGGATTGTGGTCGAGTTTTCCAAAGCCCACGTTTGGCGATCAGTCAGGGTGTGTTGTATTTTAGGGCCCCTCAATGATTCCAGGTCTAGCAGCTAGGGTAAGGGGGACAGCCAGTGGGGAGAAGAAACCAAGCAATCACAACCTACATCCTGAACCTGGGCACCTTGACAACCGAGGCAAATCACATGAAACAGTACAAGAGACCCTCTCCCACAAAAAAAGGATTAGAAGCCAGGCAAGGGCTAGACAGCCTTTGCTACCTACATAGCGAGACCCTGTCTCAACAAAAAAGCTTAGAAATTGGGAGCTTGCTCCAGATTAGGTGTTCTCATAGACTATATAATCTGTAAGGCCTAATAAAAGCCATTCTCTGTCCACAGGTCCCCACTTGAGTACTGTACTATCTCACCAGAGAACTTGTAGGTTACAAAGGGTAACATGGTCAAGACTTGGCATGAAACTGAACCTCTATTTTCAGGATAATGCCATCTTTTTTATCTTTCAGCTGTCTACTTAACTGGCCCCTCCCGACAGGTTTGTGGCTCATGATCAGATCTGCAGGAGGATGAGTTCAAGGCCAGCACAAACTACATTGTCTCCAAAAAAAATAACAAACCCAACCTGGCAGCACACCTGTAATGCCAACACTTGGCTAAACCAAGAGGATCATTAGAGTTTTGAGACCAGCCTGAACTATACAGACCTTTTCTCAGGAAAAAAAAATTTGAGGCAGGACTGTCGTTGAGTTCAAGGCCGGTCTGAACTACATGGCAAGGCCTTGTCTCAAAAAAATTTCTGCATCTGATTAGTTTTCACTGAAGCAGTTGGAGGGCCATATGCTTTGGGAAGTACAGAGGTGTTACTGCTGTGGGTCTTCTGCATGGAAGCCCAGCAAAAGAAAAAAAAAGTACAAATAGCGCAAGGACCCAAGTTCGATCCCTGGTACAAAAAATAAATAAATAAATAGTACAAATAGTTATGGAACTGAGTAATCACTTTGGATCTAGGAATATAAAATCAGGAATAATAATGTCACAGACAAGACAGTTCCAAAGTCTTTATTGGTCAATCTCTAGTCACAGATGTTTACCAGATACACCAATAGCAAAATAATGTTGCTTACAGAACTTACTGTTGGCACCTATAACCTGTTTTTGCCTGTCTTCTTTCCCATGGTCTCTCCTGAAAAGAAAGTGTTGCCTGTGTGTTAGTGCCGCCCTGATTAATCACCACCCAGGCATTTTCCTAAGCACTGGTCTCAGTCCCATATCCGCATTTCTCATCCACAGATGTCCACTCAGATTAGGTTTCATCCTGGACCAGTGAACCCTAAACTACTTGTTTCCACCACCTCCCAGTCCATCTCCCACTCCCTAGTGATCACAGCCTGAGTTCTAGCCACTACAGAATCTGCACCTCAATCCTTGCTGCCCAAGCGGCAGGGCAGTCTTCTGTGCTCATGACCCTTAAGGTCATCAAAGCCAACACACTAAGCCATGTCATGAACAACACGACATGAACACAACACAGCCAAATGGTGAGTAATGAAAGGCTAATCCTTTCAAATAAGCCTGAAGGACCCTAGATAGTGTATGCGTTGTAATTAAGCTTCAGGAAGTCATTTACTCACCCACTCTAGTAACAGATGAAGCTGGGCATGGTGTCTCGTGCCTGTCCAGCATTTCAAAGCTGAAGGGGACTGCAAACTGGAAGCTGGCCTGGTCTAGAGTGAGACTGTCAAAAAAACAAAGTGTCACAGATGAGAAGAGCTTTATTAGTTACAGATTTTTAAAAATAGGCACTATCAAGGGACAAGAAAGCACCTAACAAATTAGCAAATGCTTCATCAACTGCCTGCAGCTTGACATTCATCTTGTTTCCTCTGGTATTGGAGATGGAACCCAGGGCCTTCTCACTAACCTATATCCCCAGCCCTCTATTTTGAGACTTCTCACTGATTGCCCAGTGGGGCTTGAACTAGAGCTACTGTCTCAGCCTTCCCAAAAGGCATGCACCACTGCACTCCACTCACATTCTTTTAATCCTCTGATTATCCCCATTTTACAAGGGATGAGGTAAATAGTTCAAAGAGAACTTAACCCTGTTTGAAACTAGCCCACATGCTGTGTACCAGTCTATACGGCTGTGAGGCCAGTTTCAGCATCACTGTTCCTCCTTTACGACCACCAAGACCAGTGTTCAGATCCGATGGGAAAGGGAACCGGAGGGTCAAGCTGTCTTCCACATCAACTTTACCTTAGTAAGGCACAGCTCCATAGATGATGCTCTCTTCAGTATCAGATGCCACCAGGAAACCTGGGGACACACACAGAACAAACTCGGTGTGAAAGGTCCAATCTAAGCCAACACTCATCAGCACGCCCACCTTCTTGGATGTGGATGGGACTTGCAACTGGACTCGGGCAGGGCTCCAGCCTAGGTGCTGTGCTTTATAGGAAAGGTGAGTGGCAGCTGCAGGTATTGGGTTGACCTGAGCTGTCAAAGTCTCTCCAGGTTGCTCTCGCATGCAGTTGGAGACCCCATGGCCACAACAGCCACAGCCCTTGGAAACATGCTGTACCCTACCAGGCAGCTCCCAAAGTCCCTCACAGAAACCTACCAGGTCAGGCTTGCATCTCCTCACTGTCACGATCTCGAGTCCTCACTGTAACCTCCATGGGGTCTTCATCTGGCACAGCTGCGATAAGCACAACTGTCAGAAAAGATCTTATCTCCCTTCCTCAACTTCTCAGAATAGCAAATCAATTTTCAGTGTCATGGCTGTGACAGTGCCATGCCCTGTGCTACTGGATCACCTCAGAACGGGCCACCTGCCCTCCACACCGGTTCTTGGGCTCAGCAATTTACTTTACCAAAGCAAAGCTCATCCTACCTACTCTCCACGAAACATGCCAGTTTGAAGGAAGGCCTCCAGGTATCCCAGGATGGCAGGCACAATCGAACTGTCTTTCCCCGAAATGTTGCAGATCAGTTACAGCAAACAGAACGGCGACCGTCAAGGAAAATTGTTACTCTGGGCTCCTTTTTGACTGCAGCAACTACGCAGAAGCAGCTGCAGCTTCGATAAGGGCCACCAAAACAATGGAGGACACCATACCTCAAACCCAAACTGCTGCCGAGCCACTGATTTACCTAAATCCTATGTAGTTACCTACTGGAGACCCCAAAACAGCGTCAAGAGCCATCCAAGGTGCCCAAGGATCCCCATACATTAACATTTGCCCGTGTTTGGACTGTATGCTACCTTAGATTTTTTTTTTGTAGTAGTAGGGCTTTATCCGAGAGACTCCAGCATGCTAAGCAAGCTGCCCTGTCATTTCTAACCCCCTACCCTTTTGTTTCCTGACGCAAGGTCTAGCTCGCCTTGAACATGCAGTGATCCTGCCTCAGCCTTCTGAAGAGCTGAGGCTACAGGCATGCACCACCAGAGTACCTTTTTTTGGTACCGGAATCGAACTCGGGACCTTGCGCTTGCTTGGCAGGCGGCGGAACCACTGAGCTACATCCCCGGGCCCAGAGTACCATTTGAAAGTCAACAGATTCAGGGCTGAAACTCCGGCTCCATGGTAGAGCGCTTGCCTAGTGTGCTCCAGGCCCTAGGATTCATCCCCAGCACCGCAGGTCAAGAAGGTATGAATAAGCTCAAAGCCTGTCCTCCTGAGGCGGTTATCCTTATTTCCACCAAAGTGGCCTCTAGAAAATTCTAAGTCAGTTGCCCAAGATCATACAACTAATAACTCTCACAGGTCAATTCAACTGGCCCCCGAATTCGGTCATTTTAGGCCCTGGACATTCCGCAGCCCTTAGAAGCAGGGTTACGCGTCCTCCACCCTTTCGTGCACCCGCTTACCCTCCCTCGTCACTCACCCGGTGGGCTGCGCGCTCCCAAGTGCGAGGGCGCCGGGTCGCGCAGGCCTCTCATTGGGCAGGCGGCCGCCCAGACCCATAGGCCCGGTTCCGCGCTGCTCATGCCACAGCCCGCAGCCTTGCGACGCAAAACTGGCGAGTGCGAGCCGGTGGTAGCGAGCTGGGGGGGGGGGAAGGGGGGCACGGGGATTAGGGCTCCGCAACAAACAAAGAAGCCGGTACGCAGCGGCGACCAAAAAGGGTTGAAAGACGCGCGCATGGCCCTTATATAGGCCCACACTTCTACCGACTGCGCCTGCGCCTTCCCCGGGAAGCCGCTGGGAACTGTAGTTCGTGCGCCTTGGCCCCGCCCCCGCCTCACGCACTTGCCGGGCTGGGCGGCGACGCAATGGGGCTCCATCAAAGTGGTTTCCGCTTGGCTGGAAAAAGGTCCTGCCCCTCTTCTTTACCCTTCAACGCAGACGTCCAGTCCAGGCCTTGAGCTCACTCCCGAAGCAAACTGCCCTGCTCTCAGATCCTTTCTTAGGGACGACTTTGAGTTAACCCTCTGCACTGGGAAAGGGCCGAGCCCTGAGCGCTCCGGGGTTCGGATGGAGCAGAGTCCCTGGAGCGGATGGAGGGCTTCTGGGAAAGCATTGAGGGCTTGGATGCAGTAGTTGTTCGAGGTCGGAGGCGTGTCTTGTCCGCTAATACATAAATAACTAGTAAGCGCCACCTGTTTACTCTGAGCTCACTTACCTAAAGTTCAGAATAATCCTGGGTACAGGAATCATAATTATGCCCTTTTACAGATAAGGAGTGGATGGCACGGCTAGCTAGGAAGTAAGGACAGACGTAAATCCAAGTCGAGCCAACGGACTGACCTCGTAGACGCTGCCATGTGCTCTTTTGGGCCCATGGAATGAATAAGTGGCAACGTAATAGTTACCTAGGCTTAAGCACCTGTGCTTAATCTGTTAATTTTTGTCCTTACACTCTTAAACAGTAGGTTAGGCTGAGGGCCGGAGATTTAGCTCAGTGGTTCCACCGCTTGCCTTGCAAGCGCAAGGACCCTAGTTTGATCCCCGGTACCAAGAAAAAAAGAAAAAGAAAATATATTTGGGCTGGGGATTTAGCTCAGTGGTTCCAGCGCCTGCCTCGAAAGCGTAAGGACCTGAGTTTGATCCCCAGTACCAAAAAAAAAAAAAAAAAAAAAAGGTAGCTAAGGCCAACGCAGTGGTGTGCACCTAAGCCCCTATATAAGGCGCCTGCAAACCCTATCTGACTGCCGCTGCTTGTCTGATGTTCAATCCCCAGTACTACTAAAAAAAAAACCAGAATAAAGTTACCTAATTAAAATAAATTGGGCCGAGGATTTAGCTCAGTGGTTCCGTCGCTTGCCTTGCAAGTGCAAGGACCCGAGTTCAATTCCTGGTACCAAAAAAATAAAATAAAATAAATTAAATAAATTAAAATTTGTTGCTATGTTACTTTAATACTTTTCACTCTTACATTTATGATGTTACATGCTGTGTAGTTGTGCATATGCTCAAGTATAGGTGAGGCTCTGTCTTCAACTTCTTGCATCCCCCCCAAAATCTATGATCTATTTTTGAGTTAATTTTTGTGTAAAAGGGAAGGTAAGAGTCAAGGATGATTGATTGATTGCCTGCCTGTGGTTATCCAATTATTCCAACATTTTTTTTTTCTCGGTACTGGAGATTGAACTCAGGACCTTTGCACTGAGCTACATTCCCAGTTATTTTTGATTTTGAGACAGAGTCTCACTCATCACTGGGTTGCCCATGTGGATCTGAACTTGCAGTCTTCTTGCCTCAGCCTCCCAGAACATGTGCTGACACACCTGTTTTAAGACCAAGAATTTTGCCCTCCCCTCCCCCATGCTATGTATGTGCCTGGCATATGACAGATGGTCAGCACTTATGGGAACAATTACTAAAGGAAATGTGGCCATAACTAATAAGTGGCAACTGGAACTACAACCCAGCTCTGCTAATGGAAACACATATAACCTCGACTTCTGTGTCCCATGGTTCCCCCACAGCCGCCCTGCAAGGTAGGTACCAGGACTGCATTGCTTAACAGATGACACAGAGTTCAAGAAAGGCAAGTAGCTTGTTCCTTGGGTTGCACAGTGAACCTGTGACAAGGGTCAGCTGATGTCTGGACTCTAGGTCTGGTGTCAGGTGCAGTCAGAGACAGATATGATCCTCGTCCTACAGCAGAGAAGCTTGAGGAAGTTCAAGGAGTTTGATGCTGATGGTGCACTGCCACATGAGCTGACCAGAAAGGCTTCAGGGAAGGCTGAGTTCCAGCTGTATTTCCGGCTATTTCTTGCTTCTGCCTTGGCCCAGCTGCCCTGCCAGAATTATTTGGTGACTGATGAAATGGCTTCTCATTGAGTTTTTAGAATCAGCCATAAGAAACCTGGGTTTTCCTGGATCACAACCTGTCTGGCCAGAAACAGAAATAGAAGCCATGCTTAGGGGTACAGGCCTGTAATCCTAGCACTGAGGCGGCTAAGGCAGGAGGATCACTGTGAGTTCAAGGCTTTCCTGGGCTACATAATGATTCAAGGCCACGTGAACTACATTGTCAAGACCCAGTCTCAAAAAAACAACAAAACAAAAAGGAAACATAGTAATAGTAAACAAAGCTTTGGCCCTAGGTAGACTTGGTAGCCAGTCTAGGTCTTCCTTGCTGAATGATCGTGGGCTAGTTATTTAACTTCTCTGAGCCTCAGTTCCTTCACCTAGATGTGGGCAGAGTAAGAGACATAATGATAATGACAGTTTACAGAAGTGTCCCCCATAACAACTGCAACTGATCCAAGCCACCCACGGGCATGGTGTTGACAAGGGAGCTGTTTGGAACCAGCTGGAACTCCAGGCTTGATGCCTTGAATTTCAGAAAGCTAGGCTCAAGAGGCCATATGCCTGCATTAACCTAGCCCTTAACCCAGGTGGGACGAAGCCACCATGTCCTGCTTCAAACGGGACCTCCCTTGTGGTCCCCTTTTGTGACATCAAGGGTGTTCCAGGTTGAGTCCCAGGTCTGCCGGGCGACCTGAATTAGCCACACCTCGGAGGCGCTGCTGCTCTAAGCCCGGCACACAATGGCCTGATGGCCCCATCTGAGCACTGCCACCCACAGAGCAGGAAGAACTGATCCTGTGTCTTCATGAAGGTCTGCTGTGAGGCAGGAGGGTCGGCGGGCAGTGTCTGTCCTGCCTCCTCTACCAGTCTGTGCCCAAGTCCCCTGTCGGGCCCTGCTGACCGGGACAGCCAGGCTTTCGAGTAGCAGAGGGGCTGCTGATCACCGAACCTGGACCTTGACCAGGAGGCACCAAGCAGGGCTGAGGGGCCTCAGGACAGGGCTGCCCAGTGGGCGGGGAGCCTAAAAACCATTCACCTTCCGGAGTGGTGCGCTGAGTCCCGCGGGGCGCAGGAGGCGCGGCTGGGGAGAAACCGTGGAGCGGGGATGGTGGACGCTCGGGCCGTCCCTGCGGTCTCCTGGGCCGGCACAGGCTTGGGTAGCGCTCCTCCTTCTCCCCCTCCCCGCCTAATCGCTTCATCCCATTTCACAGAGGAGAAAACTGACACAGCGACTTCCCGGGTCCCGCCCGGCCTCTGGCCGCGGAGCGGGGCGGGAGGAGGCGCGTGGGGCGGAGCGGGGCGGTACAAGGAGAGGCGGCCTCGGCCAGCGGAACAGATGGGCCATGGGGGCCGGGGGCTGCTGCTACCAGTTCCGCGTCCTGCTGCTGGGGGACGCGGGCGTGGGCAAGACGGCGCTGCTGCGGCGCTACGTGGAGGGCTCGCCGGGCGCCGCGGAGCCCGAGGCCAAGTCGGAGCCCACGGTGGGCGTCGAGTTCTACAGCCGCGCGCTGCAGCTGCCAGCCGGGCCGCGCGTGAAGCTGCAGCTCTGGGACACCGCGGGCCAGGAGCGCTTCAGGTTCAGGCCCCGCTGGGCGGGGAAGGGTTGGCGTCCCTCCTCCTGGCCACCGGGACCCCTCCCGGGGTGCCGGCCTCGGTGGTCCTTGAAGAGGTCAGGGGGTCCCCGCCCCGGGTGTTCCCTGAACCAGAACCTCCCTCCCTCTGTCCTTCATCCTACAAATAATGCTGCGGGAGGGCCAAGCCCCATAGCCTCAGGCAAGTGCTCTGCCACCAACCCGGGTGTCCCCAGCCCCTCAGGGTCCCAGAGGAACTCAGCCAGGGCTAAATTTGCACCCTGCACTCTGAGGGATGAATGGCCTGAATGCCAGGAGAGCCCAGGGCACCGAGTAGGAAGCGGAGGTGCCTTCCTGTGGCTCACACTTGCTTCCTAAGGGACACCACCAGGTCTCCTGGGAGACACCCACTGAGGCTGAGGAGAGGGTCAGAGTGGAAGGCGCCAGGCAGAATAGGATTGAGGTGTCTGTGGGAGAAACTGTCTCTGGGGGTGGCTAGAAGGCAGAGGCCTCCCCAACTTCCCCTCCTCCTAGGTGCATCACCAGGTCCTTCTACCGGAACGTGGTGGGTGTCCTGCTGGTCTATGATGTGACGAACAGGAAGTCCTTTGAACACATCCAAGACTGGCACCAGGAGGTGCTATCCACTCAGGGTCCCAAGGTGATCTTCCTGCTGGTTGGCCACAAGAGTGACCTGCAGAGCACCCGCTGTGTCTCCAACCAGGAGGCAGAGGCGCTGGCCGCCTCTCTCGGCATGGCCTTCGTAGAGACCTCAGCCAGAATCAACTGTAATGTGGACCTGGCCTTTGATACCCTCACGGATGCCATCCTGCAGGCCCTGCAGCAGGGGGACATCAAGCTGGAAGAGGACTGCGGGGGTGTCCGGCTCATCCAGAGGGCCCAAGTGCCCCGGTCCCCCAGCAGGAAGCAGCAATACCCAGGCCCGTGCCAGTGTTGACTCCAAGGGGTCCTGACCTCACCACCCAGTGGAACAGGGACTGTTAATACCTCGGGGGGACAAATGACAAAGGATTAATGTCCGTAATATCTTGACATGGTCCTGCCTCCTGGATTTTGAGGTCTCACCCTCACTTTGCTAGGGAAAGGGCTAAGAGGCCAGGTATGCATTTCCTCTCTTTGATCCTGTTTCCTCATCTGTCAATGGAACTCATAAAAAGACCCCACGGCTCAGGGAGGTTGTGGTCCTGAGTGAGATAAAGGACAGGGTGTGCTCCCTCAGAGCCTGTCACACTGAGAACTGAAGGACAAAAGCTGTCATCCCTGCCATTCCTTTCTGGCTGTGACGCTGCCATTTCTGGCAGCATTCCTGGGCTTGGTGGTGTCTGGATGGCTGCCCTGGGGAGGACGGTATGGGGATTTCCAGTGTTAGCCTGGCTTGGAGCCACCCCCACCCACCCACCCCCTTTTTAGACAGGGTCTGGTTATGTAGTTTAGGCTGGCTTGAATTCACTATGTAGCCCAGACTGGATCCTCCTGCCTCAGCCTCCCAAGTGCTGGGATCACAGGTGTGGGCCACCACATCTGGCCCTTGGAGCCTCTTTTGGTCCTCACACTAGGATGAGTCTAGGCATGGGATGAGGTGTGGTCTTAAACTCAGGGTTGCTGCTGGCTGTGCCCACCCCAAACCCAGGGGCTGAGTCTGGATCCTAGAGGCAGGGATAACGTGAGCAGCAGTCAGGTTGGGCACAGTGGACACTAAGAAGAGCAGTGGAGGGCTGAAGGATGCGCCATGCCCCAGCTGCCGGGCATTCTCCATGAGGGACCTTAGCTTTCAAAGATCCCTCTGAGACTGCCCATCCCTGGGGCAGCCCACGTGCAGCTTCCATCCGTGCAGGTTTTTAAGGCCCTCTTGCCCCAACTCAGGACAACTCTGAGGGTCAAACCCAGCTTCGTCTTTCCTTGGGATTCACTGAGGACATTGCTGACCTCATCACAGCCAAGTTTTCCCTCTGCCAATCCTGCTTCCTTCTGACCCAGGTGTGGCTTTCAACAATGTATCCAAATAAATGTCTGCCCCCCCCCCAGCTCTGTCTCAGACTCTGCCTCCCAGGGCACCTACCCTGTCACGGGAACTGCCAGGCAAGAATGGGCACATTTTCATTCCTTCACCAATTTTATTTTCTTTCTTT